AAGGTATCGATGCCCATCACAACTTGACCTCTTTCCTTCTCAACCTAATACAACATAGGGTAAACTGTTTTTTTTAGTTCCGTAACTGGACCCCCTTATCATTTTAGTCCTGTAAGTAGAGCCTGTCGCAAACTAGTCCCACAAGTGAGAAGTTTTCGCTGTTTTAGTTCTCCGGCGCCGGAGATGCTCGCGTGGCTCGCCGGAGGTGATGTGTCCGCCAGGTGTCGCTGACCTGGCGGACACGTGGATTTTTTTATTTTCTTAAATTTTTTATAAAACTTGTTTTTTTAATTTTATTTGTAATTTTTTATTTGGTCCAATTAAAAAAATTTTAAAAAATTAATAAAAATGAAAAAAAATCCACGTGTCAGCCAGGTGTCGCTGACCTGGCGGACACGTCACCTCCGGCGTGCCACGCGGGCGTCTCCGGCGGCGGAGGACTAAAACAACGAAATTTTTTCACTTATGGGACTAGTTTGCAAATAGGCTCTACTTACGGGACTAAAATGATAAAGGGGTCCAGTTACGAGACTAAAAAAACAGTTTACCCTACAATATATATGTTAACAAATAATCAAATTAATGTATTTAGACATATTGGCATAATATAACTTTTCACTTGTACCTTCTAACTAGTGATATCATCCATGAGCCAGCAATTGATACCGCTAGCAACAATCATATTAGGTTTCTGGTGTAGGTACTCAAATACCTTCTCTGTCACAGATTTCATTCCCAACAGTGACACCATGGTGTGATAAAAATAGGTGTAAGTAATATGAAAGTTGCTAAGATAGTCCTCAAAGGTTGGATATATTCCTTGCATAGTTGCATGAACCACTCGCCTCAATATAATATTCCTTCTGTTTTGTTAAATTTATTTTCACATTCTTTTTTCTCCATCCGTAAATTTACCCTATTATTATATTTGAAAAAGTCAAAAAGTCAATATTAATTATTATCCTTCATTCAATACTTATTTATAATAAATATCACTAAATTTATTACACTGTCTCTCTATTATGTTTAAATTGTAGTTAAATTTTCAAAAATAATCCCAACTACATTTTTACTTTTTCTAACTTTTCAATGAAATATTTATTTTTCTTAATCCGCGTGCCGAGCCCAAAAGGGCTAAATTTTCCGGACAGAGGGAGTAGCTTCTTACCAATTATGTGTGCTACATTTAAGTTATTATATATATGTCAAATTTAATTAAAACATTATATACCAAGGAATTGTAAGATAAAGAGACAATTAAGTGTAATATCATCATAAAACATCGAAGGCGAATTTTATTGATTAGAATCTTCCTTCACTGCTTAGCTCATCTTCAAATTCTTGACAGAGCTCTCGAATAGTTTTATAGAATTCTCTCATGTAATTTGGGAGTTCATCAATCTCCCCAATATCCCATTCACTTAATAAAACAATAATTAACTTTAAAGAATTAATTCAAATGAACTGGTAAGTAATATCTCCCTTCCTTTCTCTCTCACAAACACATGATTTAGAATTTTACCTTTCTATTGCTTTTGCGAAAGCTTGTAGCTCTTCAAGCGTGCCATAAGCATCATACGTATCATCTGTTATTGATATAATGATCATAAGTTTTGTAAGCATAACATGTCCGCGCGAATATTTGGGTTCGTAGTACACTCCTGCGGCCCAAAAATAGCATTCAACCAATCTGTCCTTGGCATATTTTGTTTTGGTATTAGATTCAGTTCTTTCCACCACCTACACCGACAAATATGAGTAAACATGGTTTGAGAGTTTATTCATGAGTAAAGATGCAAATAATTGATCAGTTTACCGTGACAATTCCTGACTCTTTTTCTTGTGTAATATTTGAAGTAAATTATAGTCGAATTTGGCTAAGTTCAACAAAGACTCATTTCGGTGTTCAACCTCCTCTTCATAGATGGAGATGAAGAATCGTGCTTCGATTCTTGGGCAGCCCAAGTGTAGGACTTGAACTAATGAGTGCTCGACTTGTTTCTTGAGGGGTGATTGATCGAGACTTCGATTAACATTTTTTAAACTGGTCCTAGTATAAACATGTGCTAAATCTAATATACTTTCTTCATGTATTCTCAGACGTGTTGCTTCATACAAGCCTAACAAACCCCTTACATCATTCTTAATCGACTCTTGGTATTTTCCATTACCGTTCATCCATTTCTGAAAAATATCTGCGCATTCAAATCAAATTAAACACTTGGAATTATGGTGATATTTAATTCTAACCCAACATATATACATACCGCAAGATATATAATACCCACGATGCCTGAGTATCCGAAATGAAGAGCAGCTGTGAAGAGATCACAGTATTTGTCGGTATCGAGGAGGTCATAAATTTCTCTTAATTTGTCTGAAATCTTATTTTTGAAATGATATGCTATGCCTAGGCATTCGACCGTATCAATGAGATTCATAGAATCCATCATTCTCATTCTAGATCTGCTGTTTGACTCCTCATTTTATTCTTCAACATCTTAATCTCGTTGGTATATTCTTTCATATTCTACGCCCAAAAATAACAAATAATAATAGAAAAACACCCTTAATTATACATTATAACAAATTCACAAGCCTAAATACAATTGAATTTTCCATGTTAATAATAATAATAATAAATACTTTGCTATCTTCCTTTTTCTTTTAAGAAATTTAGTTACACAGAAAGTAAATGAATTTAAAATAAGTTCTATATGTAAAAGTAATACTTTAGGTTTTATTATAAATTTTGTAATACATTTTAACTATCAAAATATAAAAGTGTAGCGTATTTTGTTCAGTTCCTTGCTCAATGGATTTCAGCAACATATCATGTATAAACTTTATTAATCTACTTCATGTTTATTTTGAAACTCATACAAAATTTTATGTTCTTGAACTGTTTATTTTTTATGTATAATTGTGATCATTTCATATTAGGTTTTTCTCTATAGGATTTAATTCTTAAACGTGTATTGTTTTTTTAATTTAGTTTCAATTTTTTTCCTTCAATAGTAGGTCGGGTGATAAAATAATGTAAGTGGCCTAACTGTTCCAAATTTGTTGGGACCATAAATTATACTCGCTCCGTCGGCCAAATTTATTCTCACTTTTCTTTTTAGTCTGTCCATTAAATTTATCTCATTACTAATTTTGGCAAAGTCAACAAATTAATGTTTAATTATTACCCTTGTTTACAAAAAATACCACTAACTTTATTCCATTCACTTTCTTTATTTACCTGATTTTTTAACTAAATTTCCAAAAATAGTCTCAACTACCTATCACTTTTTCAATAAAATATTCATTTTTTTTAATTCACGTGCCGAGCCCAAATGGACTAATTTTAATGGACGGAGGGAGTATTTATACAATGGAGAAATACAACTTTGTATGTATGATTGTTCAGTGGTTATGGAATATGATAAAAGAATGAGCAGATCGATATAAGTACGAGATAAAATAAATGACACACAATGTTTGTTTAAGAAAATTAAATTACACCAACAAACATAAAAAAAAATGTCTTTTCTGCAATTTTCATTGCACATTACCCAAAAAATTTCTTGTTATACTGCAGTAATTACACAAACAAACCACATGTCCAATTGAGAGTAAATGTCCTTATGGGCTAGTTATCTTCTCAATTGGAAGTTCTTTTCTTTTTTTTTCAAATAAGTTTTTGAGAACAATTAAAACATTAGAACATTATCAAGATATGAAGAAATAGAATGACTCACTTGGAATGATACACAATATTTTCTCTCACTAAAATATATTTTTCAATTTTCCACACTACACACGTTCAAACAAGGATGGTTTTGTTGAAGTGTTTGGATTCTTGTTTCAAAGTCATAAATAGATCTGCAATACTACAAATTATTATTTTGTCTTTCTCAAATTATCAGACAACATTTGACTGTGGGAAACATGACAGGTTTGAGAAGTTTAAGGCTCAAATTATTTTATGCAAAAATCACAACACTCTCAAATATATTAAAAAAAATAATAATAGTAATAATTGACAATAAAAATATATTTTTTATTTGTATCTTTATAAAGCTCTGACAATAGTATTATATATATATATTTCTAATTATCTATCATTAAATCTTTGTATTATAGAAATTTAAAATTTATCATGTATTTCTCATATACTTTTCATAAAAATATTCTTTTTTTTCCCTTATTTACCCCACAATTTCTTTCTATAAAAGTATATATATAAATAGTGTAAACATACTTCTTTATCGTTTATCTATGACCTAAAGCCAATTAGGTACAAGAATCATTCAAAATCTATCAAATGTTGATATAGGGTTTCCGTGTATCTCCTTTCAAACAAACACACACGTATAAAGATATATATAGATATAATATGCATAAATATAGTATGAATGGAACTGAAGCATATGCAATTTTTAGGTTCTTAGTTATTGTTTTATCTTATTATATTTCAAAAGTCATAAGTAGCAGGGGCTAAATTGAATAATAACTAGTCGTAATTACATATGATGATTCAATTCAGCCCCTACATATACGTACTAATTAATCTGATCGATGTCTTGATTAATCTTTGTATTTATCGTTTCAAACATACAATAAAGTCAAAAATACTGATTGGACAATATAATTGTGAAAACTCTTATCATTGAGATCCTCGAATATAAATATACACATACATATTGAATTTGATCCAACTAAAAAAAAAAGCCGTAGAGGCTGCCATGACATTTTATTTTTTTAACTTATATTTACAGTAGTAACAATTTATTATCATCGATCCAAGTCCTAACAAAATACATGAGTACTTCCAACAATTAAACAAAAAAATTTATATATATTTTAACAAAATAATAAAACTTTGGAATCATAGTAATGAAACAACATAATGTAAAAAATAAAAATGTAATCATAATAAGAGAAGAAGTAAAGAAATATCTCTCTAATAATTTTGAAGTCGATAACAAATTGTTGTGGTTGAAGATGAAGAGCATTTCACTAAAAATGTAAATAAAGAATTACAAAGCTTCAAAGAGGAAATATAAAATCCCTTCGGATGCAAAATGAGTTCTTTCTGATCATTTCTTAGTAATACATTATTCCCTCTTTGTTCAGACATAAAACTATTCTTTCGAACAATAAGTTTAAATTCAAAATATTTTTCAAACTATGTACTTCTACTGAGAAAATACTAGAAAAAAATATATAAAACACACCTACATAAATATATAACAAATTTACAACAGGTATTCAATTCAAATATACAATAAACATCTCGTCTCATTTTCAACAAACAACATTTAAATATATATATATATATGCTTCTCTCAAACAGAAGATAACTTATAAGTTGTGAACCGAAACACGCCATGAAAGATGGAAACATAACCCTTGTGAAGTCCAAGAATCAAAATGTACCTAAAAATTTAAATCTTGTTATAGAATTGAAGTCTCAATGGAAGCAAAAATATAGGGATCCTAAGAAACATGCAGTAAATAATATATAGAAATGGTGACATTACCTTAACCTAGATGACTTATAGTAACGAGAGGATGAGATGCCTAATATTTTATTGGATCGACGAACAAGGCAATGATGTGAGGTTTCACGTTCTTTTCTGGTTTGGTGTATCCATCATGATCATTCTTGTAAGCCACATCCATTATTCGAGAAATATTCATAATACGCTTTACCACATCTTTCCAATGAAAATATGATTTCAAAAATTCCTCATTGATATCCTTCCAAGCATTTTCCGCTATTTCATGAAGTTTAGCCACCGCTTCTTCTTTGGTAGCATTATTATCTTTCATGAAGCAATCGATGCCCGTCACAACTTGACCTCTTTCCTTCTCAACCTAATACGATATATATGTTAACAAAAAATCAGAATAATTTATTTAGACATGTTGGCATAGTATAACTTTTCACTTGTACCTCGTAGCTAGTGATATCATCTATGAGCCGGCAATTGATGCCGCTAGCAACAATCATTTTAGGTTTCTGGTGCAGGTACTCAAATTCCTTCTCTGTTAGAGATTTCATTCCCAACAACGACACCATGGTGTGATAAAAATAGGTGCAAGTTATATGACCGTTGCTAAGATAGTCCTCAAAGGTTGGATATATTCCTTGCATGAACCACTTGGCCTCAGTATAGTAGTTTCTTACCAATTCCTTGTGCTACATTGAAGTTATTACATATATGTCAAATTTAATTGAAACATTTTATACCAAGGAATCGTAAGAAAAAGAGGAAATTAAGTGCGATATCATCATACAGCATCGATGGCGTATTTTATTGCGTAGGACCTTCCTTCACTGCTTAGCTCATCTTCAAATTCTTGATAGAGCTCTAGAGTAGTTTTATAGAATTCTCTCATGTAATTTGGGAGTTTAACAATCTCCCCAATATCCCATCTAATGAATAAAACAATAATTAATTTTAAAAAACTTAAATGAAATGAACTAGTAAGTAGTATCTCCCTTCCATTCTCTCTCACAAACACATGATTCAGAATTTTACCTTTCTATTGCTTTTGTGAAAGCTTGTAGCTCTTCAAGCGTGCCATAAGCATCATACGTATCATCTGTTATTGATATAATGATCATAAGTTTTGTAAGCATAATACGTCCGCGCGAATATTCGGGTTCATAGTACACTCCTGCAGCCCAAAAATAGCATTCAACTAATCTGTCCTTGGCATATTTGTGTTTTGATATTAGATTCAATTCTTTCCACCACCTACACCGAAAAATACGAGTAACATAGTTTGAGAGTTTATTCATAGTAAAAATGCAAATAATTGATAAGTTTACCGTGACAATTCTTGAAGCTCTTTCTTGTGTAATATTTGAAGTAAATTATAGTCAAATTTGGCCAAGTTTAACAATGACTCATTCCGGTGTTCAACCTCCTCTTCATAGATGGAGATGAAGAATCGTGCTTCGATTCTTGGACAGCCCAAGTGTAGGGCTTGCACTAACGCGTGCTCGACTTGTTTCTCTAGGGGTGATTGATGGAGACTTTGTTCCACATTTTTTAAACCGGTCCTAGTATAAACATGTGCATAATCTAATATGCTTTCTCCATGTATTCTCAGATGTGTTGCTTCATACAAGGCTAACAAACCCCTTATATCATTCTTAATGGACTCCTGGAATTTTCCATTACCATCCAACCATTTGAGAAAAATATCTGCGCATTCAAATTAAATTAAATAGCTGGAATTATGGTGATATTTAATTCTAACCCAACATATATACATACCGCAAGATATATGATACCCATGCTGCCTGAGTATCCGAAAATGAAGAGCAGTTGTGTAGAGATCACAATATTTGTCGGTATCGAGGAGGTCATAAATTTCTCGTAATTTCTCTGAAATTTCATTTTCAAAATGATATGCTATGCCTAGGCGTTCGAGTGTATCAATGAGATTCATAGCATCCATCATTCCCATATCTTGATCTGTTATTTGATTCCTCACTGTATTCTTCAACATCTTAACCTCGTTGGCATATTCTTTCATAATCTATGCCCAAAAATAATGATTAATAATAAAAGACCCATTGATTATACTTTATAACAAATTCACAAGCCTAAATACAATAAAAAATTTCATGTCAATAATAATAATAAACAAGTTGCTATTTTCCCTTTTTGTTTGAGAAACTGACTTAAACAAAAAGAAAATGAATTTAAAATAAGTTGTAAATGTTAAAGTATAGTTTAGGTTTTATTATAAATTTTGTATTACATTTTATTATAAAATGAATTTTATATAATTGTGATCATTTCATCTAAGGTTTTGCTCTATAGGATTTAATTCTCAAACGTGTATCCTTTTGGAATTTAGTTTCAATTTTTTTTTCTTTTAATAGTACTTTGAAGCTGATATTTTGTGAATTATAGATTATAATAATGATTGTATAGGAAAAAAGCTAATAATAATGATTGTATAACAGATTTAGGATTTTAAAGTTCAGGACTTTTTTATACTAGTTTTGAGTTTATTCTTAGTAAAGTTAAAGCTTTGATGAACTACAAATCAAGCAAATGATACTTGATTTCTTACTACACTAAAATATATTAGCTCCGTCCGGCTCTAAGTGTCCCATTTACTTTTCCTTCTTAATATTTTTATATTAATTATTATATGAAAATATAATACAAATTAAAAAAAAACTGTAAAAATACTTGTATTAATGTCTTATAATACTAATAAAAGGACATTTGTACAAAAAAAAAAAATTATATAAATATGAAGATATTTTTAATGTTAAATATAATGACAGAAAATGTAAATGAGGCCTTTAGAGACGGACTGTGAGGGAGTAATGAGTTACAATCGCGCTCTTTATTTACAAAATATATCACAAGCATGTCATGGATATATGGTGTGAATATACATATAAAGTTATTCACTTTGTATATATGTAGTAAATTTTGTTTTAAAGCAAAATTCCTCATAAAATTCTTTATGGTTTAAATGGCCTACGGACCATTACATTCATTGTATAACTTTTTCATGTATTTTCAAAAAACATTGAAAAAAAAATTCCAAACTTTAGTAGTCGAACAACAATAGTTTCTGCCAATCCATTAAGTTTAGATAGTTGGTGAATCTGTACAATACTTCCTTAAACACGATGGAAGGTTGCACATATTTTAAACTAATGATGGAAAAGACATTCAAAACAACATGTGAGTTACAAGAAATTTTATCATATTTTTATTATATAATTTTGTATGGTTGTATTTTTATCTTGTATTTTATCATATTTTATCTTTTGTCATGCCAAGTTCGAAGATCAAAACTTAATGAATGGAAGATTCAGAACTTAAAAAGCAAACATACAATAATTTGGAGAATTGAAATATAAAGACCGTGCATAATTATAGAATAATATGAAAATCGAGTATAGATTGAAAATAATTTTTTTTTTTTTTATTTTAGGAGACCATAGAAATTACCTGAGGGTCAAATTCGTAACGTAGGAATTGGTCACCCCACAAGGTAGAGGAGAAGTTGGTCACTGGACGAAGAACATCTTTTGTACTCATTCTTGAGACTTGTAATATACGATGATAACATGCAACATGGCTTCTATTTATAGATGAGTTATAGATTAAATACATGTATGCTTAATTAAAATATAAGATATTTCTTATTTTTAAAATAATATTTTGTTAATATTTAAATGATATTATTTTAGGTAAAAAATATTTTTGGTTTGATTGTATATCACATTATTCAATTTTAGTCATATTGAAAATCATAGAATAAAGATTAAAATCGATCATATATGTAAAATAAAATTTTCGATTATCGGAGATCATATAAATTAATATCCTAAGGATCATATCATAACCAACGAATTGGTCACACCATAACCATAAGGTAGGGAAGAAGTTGGTCAATGTAACAAAAATTTTTACGCAGACCGTGTACCATAGTAACAATTTATTATCATCAATGCAAGTTCTAACAAAATACAAGAGTATCTCCAGCAATTAAACAAAAAAGAAATTAAAATAATAATAACTTTGGATGCAAAATGTGTTCTTTCTAATTAGTAATACAATATTCCTTCTTTGGTCGGACATAAAACTTTACTCATTGCTAACAAGTTAATATCATCGTAACTTTTTTTAAGCATATTAAACAAAAATTATACTAATAAGAAAAAAGGATATTAGTTACAATTATCATGATACAATAGGAACATTAGTTTAATGAAACTTATCCCACTAATTAATTAAAAAAATATATGTAAATCTTACAATACATTGTAAAATTCAAAAAGAATCATACTTTATTATATTTGATTTATTATCCATAATCCAAAAAGATATCAACATTCACTACAAAAAAATAATATATTTGTAACGGAATTCCGTCCCTAAAGTTCACGTAGCTAACGTAATTTCATTCTTAATTTCATCTCTAATGTCATTAGTAACGCAAAAAGTAGATTTAAAAATAAATAAATAAATAAATAAAAACTGTTACAAAAATAATTTTTTCTTGTAGTGATTGAAAGAGATGTTAATGTTGATGCATACTGAAATGCTTTCTTTAGAGTGTACGATTAGGTTATAGGATTGATTGTGTCATTTAACAATAATAACATGTTTATTGAAAAGATTACTGACTAATATCTAATCACTTATCTTTGTCGTCCATATCCTATGATAATTTTTACCAAATTTATATTTATTAAATAATCATACTTTTTATTCTACAAAAAATATAACTAAATATAAATTGATATATAACTAAATTTATATTTATTATATAATTGTATATAATTAAACCTACCTTGGAGTACCTTTAGGTTAGTTTGGTTTATGTTTAAATTTTAATTTTTTATTTAAATTTTAGTTTAAGTAGTACTTTGATACCATATTTTATGAATAAAAAAATTATATTCTCTCGATCCTAACTCAATATATCATTAGTTTATTGTAGTAGATAAAATAATAATATTATTGTAGTGGTTAGTAGAAATATTTAAGATAATTTTTATATTTTTGTCTTTACAAATAAAAACGAAATGAATATTTTCATAAAAGTTAGAGGTATTTTGTTAGTTATATATATTGAAGGAAAAATTGTAAAAATTACCATTATGTATCCCAAATTATTATTTTTAGACACCTTTTTTCGGTTTCGCAAAATAGAATAGTAAGTGTTACGAATGCCTTATTTATGTCCTCCGGTACCGGAAAACGTCACATGCCGGGCACGTGCGCAGACGTGGAATCGTCATTGCCGATGTGTACATGGCCGGCGCAGACGTGTACCACGACGTGTCATTTTCCCGGCGGCTGACGTGGAATTTGTTTAAAAAATAAAATAAATTAAATTACAATTAATTTTTTTTCTAATTTGGCCCGATTGGACCAAAATGCAAATAACATATTTGCAATTTGGTAAAATTGAACCAAATTGCAAATAACATATTTTTGTAATGTTTTTAATTTTGTGTTATTTGTAATTTGGTTCAATTGGACCAAATTTTAAATATGTGTTTTGCATTTTGGTCAAATCGGGCCAAAATAGATTAAAAAAAAAAGTAATATTAATTTAATTTATTTTATTTTTTAAACAAATTCCACGTCAGCCGTCGGAAAAATGACACATCGTGGTACACATCTGCGCCGGTCATGTACACGTCGGCAACGGCGATTCTATAAAGAAAAACCGTGCAAATTAAATAAAAAAAATTATATAATGTCTTAATGTCTTATTAATATATGTATTTTTCATATAATAAAATATTACTTCCATCTCTTAACAAAATATTCATTTGTTTTTTACGTTATTGTATTTAACTTTAGAAATATCATTATATTTTGTAATATTTTATACAAATGTCATTACATTTGTATTATACAACACTAATGTAAATATTTTTTTTCATTTAATTTATACTACGTATGAATATAATATTAATATTCAAAGTTCTACGCTTCAAAAGCAAATTGATAGATAGTATATTTTCGTAGTCTTAAGATATATATATATATATGTATGTGTCAACAAAATAAATGGTAGATTTTATTGTGTTTAAGAAGTTACATGAAATTCACGTGATATTGGTTATGTGTACACATGTTTCCTAAGAATTTTGGTATCCTTTTCATGTTATACAAAATTCACGAGAATTCTGATTTTATTTTTAATCTGTTGGATTATTTTGATTGAAAATCCAACGGTTGAGTTTAATTAAGGAGTGTTTGGTAATTTTAAAAAATAATTAAGGATCTTTATATAAGGAAAAATCAATTAGAAAAAATTATATCAACTACTTCCGATATATTCGGGATTAAGTTAATCCTAAATAAAATAAAAAATATTTGCAAATAATTAATTTCCAAAATGTACACATTCAAAATAGAATGATGCATAGAGTATCAGAAATTATGTTTCTATAATATTATTATGACGTTTTATCGTGAAATGCCCTTCATATATAATCTACTCAAATGATGTCAAAATAAATGTATTATGATGTATTCTCTTAACTCGCAAATTATTAATTATACGGGATAAATTGAACTGAATGTTTCCTAAATAAGAAGATTTACTTCCCACCCAAAATTTATTTACCAACCCTAATTTTACCGTGCAGTGACTTCCTTCCTCCTCTCATTGTCCTGCCTACGTCAACCACACATTCCGCGACCACCGGCGATGACATCTCTAGCCGTGCCTACCACCGTCAAATACGTTAGCCACGTCCACCCTCGATTTCCCTTATATTTATACCTCTGCAGTTGACAACCACCGCCGACGACATCTCTAGCCGCATCCAACGTCGTCTAACACGCTAGCCACCTCCGCCCTCGATTCCCCTTCTATTTACACCTCCGTAGTTGACGACAACATCTCTATCCGCGCCAACCGCCGTCAAACATGTTTGCCACCTCCGCTCTCGATTCCCCTATCGTGCTAGGGGAGGGAGAGAGGAAGGGCTGATTGGCGACGAACAAATTTGGTGGTTGTAATTTCAATGCTGCGTAATTTTTTTATGGTGATTATGTGTATATATGCATTCTTGATTAGTCTCTTTTAGGAAAAAATAAAAATCAGCACAGTTATTCCTAAAAGTCTTTTTGTTGGTCTCCGGACACGTACGATGTATATTCATGATGCATATGCTGTTTAACTTATGATAGACTGACGATAGTAAACCTTATTGTGCACACTTTTATTTTATATTTTGGTTCAAATTTATGATTTATATATTGCATGGTTATAATATATTGATCAGATTTAAATGATGGACTATGTTAGATATATTTTTCACCATTATGTTTCTAGACATGATATATACATCAGATATAAACGATGTAAGTTGCAGATAGGGATGTTGCACATATAGTTATGATATATTTCATTTTATGATTTATATATTGCATAGTTATGATGTATTGATCAGGTTTAAATAATGGACTATGTTATATATATTATGTTTATATATGACTAAGCGGCAACATCCTCTGAATATGTTCTTTTATTATTGGGTCAATTTACTGCCATTTTTGTACCCATTTTTATTGCAGCAATAGTGAATGTATTGCATATTTGACGAACATTTTTTTTTTTGGCATTTTTTTTTGCACGGAAAATTTTCGTCTATGCGCGTATCTACAATATGACTTGTATGCGTTGAAGCTTAAAAAAAGATGCATTTGTCCAATAGTCATCACGTGAAGAGGCAAATGATATACTGTTACAAAATATGTTGTTTATTTCAATGTAATATGATTTACAAAATATATTATTATGGTGTCGCTCCAACGCAAATATTGAATAAGTAAATTACTTGTTTTCTTACTTTTTTTATATAGAATATGACTGAATAAATATACTATATATTTTTTTAGGATTTAAATAATTAAAAAAATAATAGATATAATTTAATTTGGAGACTTTTTCAATGATCCATACTTTTAGGAAGTTGATACTAAATTTAAGGACAAATTAGTTTAGTTCAACATTTTTATATTTGGATAAAATATGATACTTTTTACCTTATTGGTTTCAAATATAATTTCATAGAGCAATCGAATAAATTATATTATAAAAATTAACATTGTTAAGTGAGTACTATCATAACTTCTACAAAAATATAATAAAATCTAAAATTGCCTCAAAAAATAATGTAAACCATTTTGTTATTTCATGCTACATATCATTCGCACAACTATTGGTATCAACAATTAGGATAAATTTAGTGAATCTAAATGAACTAATGGAAGCTTGCAAGTCTTCCATTGTTTATGGCTAATATATTAATATGTTGAATGGGTAATATAATTATGATGCATATATATTTAGAATATGATGTTCAGAAGATAGGGATATAATGTAATTAAAATTCGTCAACACGTTACTTTTGTGATCGATAGAAAAAAATTATTGCATTCTGTAATTTCTAAAATGTTATCTTTGTCCACAGCACACACGAACTGACCGGAACATACATCATTTTACTCTATTTTGTTCTACGCTTCGTCTTTTCCACAATTTATTTTCTTCAATGGACGTCGGTTAAAGAAGGCGGGGATATCTT